CGACTCCACTGAACGGCTACCCTGAGGTACCCCTGAGCAAGGTACCGTGGGGGGGGTGGCGTGGGGTTTTTCGAGTGCCCTGAAGACGGGGGCTTAACTGTGAGGTAAAATCCTGGCTGAGGAAGGGTACCTCTGGCCGCCGGTGCCCCTTACACGAACTGGGCTCCACTTCGTCTGCCCCTCTCCGCTGCCTACCTCGGGGCTGGCTGCTAGACTGGTGGCTGCCCCACCGTGCTTCGATTCACGTGGGTGTGGTTACAATGCAGAGGAAAAATGCTATTTGCCTATGGAGGACTAACACCGGGGGTTAAGACCACGCCACATTTACAATAAGACAACAACAAACAAGAAGACTAACGTTTTTTTTTTAACTTTACATAAACGACACAATGGAGTAACTATAAACGGGCATCATAAACCCCCGACCTTCCGATCATGGGGCCACCACTCTACCTACTGAGCTATCCCTGTTGTGTTGTACGTAGCGCTGACGTGGGACAGTTTTCCAATTTCATTGAACTATTGTACTGTACTGTATATGTATGACTGTGCAATGACAATAAAGAGTTATTTTATCTTATCTTATAGAGTTATCTTACTACACCTAACAATGTAGTATATTTCAAACACATATTCCTAACTTCCTTTTTAACAGGGTGCCCAGACCTTTAAATTCGTATTATATTTTTAAAGAGATTTTTCTCAGTTATAAGTATCCCATGGTATTATTTCGTTATGTATCAGGAAGTGAGTGACTCTATCCATCTATCATCTTCACATATGACATATATGCTTTGAAATTGTGTTTGTGAACTTCTGTGCCAAATTTAAGTAATTATGTTTTTAAAAATTATTTTCAGGACTCCATCCTTTGCTCTAATTTGTTCTTTAAATGTAGCTATGGTTTATGGCAGAGACCAAAACTCAAATATTAACAGTTATTGTTCAAGATAAACCCGATTAAAGTCAAGTTCTAGTTCTAGTTTGGCTTGTACAGCCCTGACACCCTAGCTGTGCATGGCTTCCTCCTCTTCTACTCATGTTATAGTGAGCATGTATAACTTTATGGCACCCATCTATCCTGCAAACCTTGAAAAGGCTGCTGAGGCTCTGAATAAATCTGGGGAAGACACTCTGACAGTCCCTGATCTGCCTGTCCATGTTCCCTGAAATCTCTCTCAGCTATCGTAGCTTTGGTTTTCCACGTCATGACATATTCCTCTTGTGAAGGCAGGGGCCCTATGTTTGAATGTGTGTGTGTGTGTGTGTGTGTGTGTGTGTGTGTGTGTGTGTGTGTGTGTGCGTGCGTACACACCATCAGATAAAGTGGCTCAGCTTTAATGTCACTTGTCAAGAGCAGTTGGCAGATAAATTTACAAAATGTAGCTGCATGATACAGCTTATTTTTTGAGTTTGGTGGCAGCGCGAGTAGCTGTGATCTAAGTGACGAAGCCTGTGCTGCAAGGAAATCTGGCATACATACATGTTTGTGTGTGTAAAAAAGCATGTGAATGTAATTAATGATGTGTTCCTCCTCTTCATAGGGTAATAGGATTTCCCCACCCCGGGCGGTAAGGATAGAAAGGAGAAGGGGGGAACGGCTATGCACATATGTATGTGAGAGTGTGTGTTTGCTGCAGAGTTAGTGAATGGGAGCCCCATGTAGTGATGCCATAGAGGACTCTTCTCTCTCTGTGTGTGTGTGTGTGTGTGTGTGTGTGTGTGTGTGTGTGTGTGTGTGTGTGTGTGTGTGTGTGTGTGTGTGTGATAGGGGGAGGGGGGGACAAGCGAGTGATTTATAACAGCTACTTCAGGTCTCTCCTCTCTCCCACAGCAGCACTGCAAACACATCCATTACGAACGTACTGATGTTAATGGGTATAATTATGGAAGGTTGGGTACATTAGAATATCTTAAATATGATCCATAAGGAACACTATAAAAACTAATCCATAAGTAAATATGATATATGTTCATAATGAACCTTTTACATCTGCACTTTTTACATATTTACTTACCATGTCATTATTAAAGCTGCTATACCCAATTTGCAAAAACAAGTTAGCTTAACATATTTTTTTTTCATGTTCATAACAACATTTTAACAAAGCATAGCTATAAATGTTGTTTGGAGATTAAAGAAAAAAAAATGAAGTGGTTCTGTTGCATTTGTCTAAAACCATCAGCCAATAACATGGCTCAGTCCAGAAAAACGATAGAACAGTCTTTCCTGACTCCTTAAATTCTACATTAACATGGCTCCACCACACTATGCACTGGCCTGTTTAGCAGCAAAGCACACCAGGGGGTGTGGCCTATGGATAATATCCAATGGGAGGGGGGAGCCTTCTTGACCGTGTTTATGCTTCCATCTAGCCTGTTTTTTTAAATTGGGGAAAGCGGCTTTAACTACCTTTCTTTTATTAACTTAATTTTTCTCTGTCTAGTTTGCTACCAGTCCTGGCACAAAAGATGTTATGTTAGCCACAAGGTGAACCTCACTGAACCTCTTCCAGAGGTAAGTGTTTTTGCAGAATTCTTCTCAGTAAAATATGTAAGGTAAACAAAGTCTTACTTTGTGTTTTTGATTGTTATTAGGTCTTTAGTGAAGATAGTTCAAGTGAGGGGGCTTCATCAGAAGAGGAATATGTGCCAGATTCTATAGCTGACTCAGACAGCTCATGGGACAACAAATCAGAGCCTTTAAATATAAGTTGCAAACAAGTACAGAACTCTGAGATCTCCAGCAGTCAATCTGCTTGCAAAACGAAAAGACCTCGCCTAGAAAGTTTTTTAGAGAGCGTAGGACAAAGAATTTCAGAAGATGCCGAATCAATATCTGAAGATGGAATTGGCACAAGACAGCTCGACATATCAGGGGTTATTGCCACAGCAGAAAAGTCTGATGCTGAAGGCATTGTTGATGACTCTAATACTACGGCTGAAGATTCCTTAAAAACATCCTCCTCACTAAGAAACAAAACATACTGCTACATTTGTGGAAAACTACAGACAAAGTTTACACGTCATTTAAAAACTCATGAGAAATCACATGCAGATGTTGCTCGAGTTTTAAGTCTTCCCAAGAAGTCCAAAGACCGTTTGAAAATGCTTTCTAAGCTGCGAAACAAAGGAAACCACAGACATAACTCGGAGGTCATCGCAAGTGGGATTGGATCATTAAAAACCAGACGCACATCAAAAAAACCCTACAAAGGAAAAGACTATATTCACTGCATTTATTGCGAGGCATTATATCTTAAAAGAGATCTTTGGAGACATGTTCGTAAATGTTCTTCAAAACCAGTGGAGGCCAATTCAGAGGGGGGACGAAAAAAGGTCTTGTCCCTGGCCTGTATGAGTGAGTCAGCTCTGTGTCAGCAAGTTTCCCCCGGTGTTTGGAAGATATTAGCTGTCATGAAAGATGATGAAATAACTTCTACTGTGCGAAGTGACTTCTCTATTCTTCAGCTTGCTCAATCATTCTTTAACAAACATGGGAAAGATCCCACCAAATTTGACTACATTCGCCAGACACTCCGAGAATGTGGAAGACTTCTGCTCACACTTCGGAAAGAATGCTCAATACACACTTTTGAGGATGCTGTAAGACCTGCAAATTTCAATGTGGTTATCAAAGCTGTTAAGAAGGTGTGTGGGTATGATGAAGAAAAGAACTGCTACTCGACTCCAAGCCTTGCTTTAAAGTTGGGACACTCACTGCAGAAAGTCTGTGATATTATACATTGCAGAGCACTGATGGCAGAAGACAGTGCACTGATAAAGTCAACCCAGAGTTTCAAAACCCTTTATGCTACAAAGTGGTCAGAACTCATCTCCCATACTGCATTAACCACACTAAACGAGCGGCACTTCAACAAGCCTTCCACACTTCCTTTCACAGAAGATGTTCAGCGTCTTCATAGACATCTGGAGAAGACTACAGAACAAGCACTGAAGGACTTGGAAGAGCATAGTTCACCAAAATCATACAGTGAACTTTGTAAAGCTACCATGGCAAATGTAATACTATTTAACAGGAGAAGAGGGGGAGAAATTTCAAAGATGACACTGAATGGCTTCCAGGAGAGAGACACTAGTACCCTGCACAAGGATGTTGCAATTGGACTGACAAAATTTGAACTTTACCTTTGTCAACACTTCAGTCGTGTAGAATTGAGGGGTAAACGAGGACGCAAGGTTGCAGTGCTACTTTCACCAGACATGGTGAATGCCATAACACGGCTGACAGAGAAAAGACAAGACTGTGGTGTTCTGGCAGAAAACATATTCCTGTTTGCCAGACCTCATTGTCTGACTCCCTACAGAGGACAGGACTGTTTGAGGATTTATGCAACTGAATGTGGGGCTGAAAACCCCGAACACCTACGTTCAACGCAGTTGCGCAAACATGTCGCAACTTTGTCTCAGATCTTAAACCTCAAGAATCACGAGTTAGACCAAGTTGCCAACTTCCTAGGTCATGATATTCGTGTTCATCGCGAATATTATAGACTTCCAGAGGCTACTACCCAGCTTGCCAAAATATCCAAACTACTGATTGCCATGGAGAAAGGGTCTCTCAAAAGCCTTCAAGGCAAAACACTTGGAGAGATTGAAATCGAAGGTAAAGTGGTGTTAAGGTTAAGAATTATACACGTTTCCTGCACTATAACCTTATAATTCATTAAGACAATCTTTTATTTTGTTAGATAACCTACAGTTGACAGATTCAAGTGAAGAAAGTGAGGTCGGAGCGGAGCGTGAGGAGGTCGGAGCGGAGCGTGAGGAGGTCGGAGCGGAGCGTGAGGAGGTCGGAGCGGAGCGTGAGGAGGTCGGAGCGGAGCGTGAGGAGGTCGGAGCGGAGCGTGAGGAGGTCGGAGCGGAGCGTGAGGAGGTCGGAGCGGAGCGTGAGGAGGTCGGAGCGGAGCGTGAGGTCAATGAAGGAAATCTTGTATATCCACAGATTGGTAAGTACAATGTGATTAGTCTCAACTTTGTTCAATTTATGAAATCACATGACTAATAGACTTTATTACAGATTCTATAGATACTAGAATGATGAAGAAAGTTGTCAAGGAACCTCCAGGTATGTGTTTGTCATCATTTATTGAAGCTTTTACCTTTGTAACTACTTCCTAGACACTTTTGCTATCTTTGCTATCTTTATGTAAAAAAAAAAAAAAAAGATAATTCATTACTATCATTTTTCCAGTGATTGTTACCTTTGTCCAAATGGTAATTTAAAGAAAGTCAAGGATCTTTCTAAAGACCAGCTCAACAGAATAGAAAGGTCAGTTTTGGAGGATGGTCAGGTAGGAAATGCTAGTTTGAACAGGTGATTTTGAGCTGTGATTTAAAGTTCTAGAGAGAATCTAATGAGCAGAGGAAGTTCCAGAGGGTGCAATTAGCAGTGGCAAAGGATTGTACCCTCAGATTTATGATTTTGATGATGGGGGTAAGGAGGTTAGTGTTAGCAGTGTTGTGGGAGAGTGACAGTAAAGACAATCCCTCAGGGTGGCGGGGGCGAGGTTGTTGAAGGCTTAAAAGTTGATTAGGAGTTTGCACTCAATACTATAGTCAGTGTGCAGCCAGTAATGTTCTTTTTAGGATGTGGTGATATAGTCTCTAGATATGTCCCCTTTTGCATAAAAGGGGACATATTATGCAAAACCCACTTTTTTTTGTTGCTTTTGTATGTATATTTGGTTATGAATTGCCTCCCGACTCCTTAAGTGTAGGTTTTCAACAACTAAAAAAGGAGCTCTTTTAGGTCCCAGGTAGTGTATTTTGCACAATCCAGCATAATCACAGCCTCAGCACCTGTCCTCGTGGACAATGCAAAGGCCGTCTTTGGGCTGTGTAGACTAAACACTAACTGTTCTTAGCAGGGCTGTAAAACTAGTGTGTGCAGAACTCAATTCTTCGGCTTATTTGAAGGAAGCCGATTATCGCCATTATATTTTTGCATCCTACAACCATGTCAACTCACACAATTGAGCATAATACGTCCTCTTTAATTTAAAAATTGTTTAAAAAGTAGTTTGTTTACATTTATTTTTTTCTGCTTCTAGCTTCTCTGGAAAATGCAAGGAGGGTCAAAAAGCATCCTTGGTCTCCCACGGAGGTTGCTGCGATAATGAAGTATTTTGGCGAACATATCAAAAAAGGAAAACTGGCCACTATTATCGAATGCCAGCAATGCAAAACTGCAGAAGATCCTGCTCTGGCTGGTCGTTCTATTCAAAACATCAGAGATTTTGTGAGGAATCGGGGCGTGTTGTTGAAGAAAAAAGAAAATCCTATGTAGAGGAGTCTACATAACTCCAAAGTACTTCTTGGAGGAGTTACAAAAGATATTTTGTATGTTTTGGTTTCTCATTTATTTATTTTAGAATTTTACTATTAGAAGATTGGTAAATTCATTTTGTTGACACTGTTTTAGTGCATCTGATCTAAGAGGACATATAATTTTATATTGCCAGTTATTTTCATTTCTGTTAACAAAACAATCCTGTTTTTGTAAAATGCACTCAATTTGTTCCTTTTATTCACCTGTTGCCCTTTTAATACACACAAAATACATGTTTGTGTATGTGTATGGCCTTTGTCCTGTTAATAAAGTTAGCCCTGACAATTACTGTTCATGTCAGGGGGAGGAGCCAAGTTACCTAATTAGTGTTGTCCTCTTATTACACCATGTTGTCAGGTTCTTATATTTTGAGTTCTGGTGTGTTTTTCACAATTTTGAAGTGAGATTTGTGTTGTACAACTCAAATGGGATTTTTAAAGATGCACTTCATCTATCTAGCACAAGCGGAAAGGGGGGTCCGTTTAGTGTTGCAAAAATCTTGTTTGAAAAAATTGTCCTTCCAATTCACCTTTACCAGTATGTGTGTGTGTGTGTGTGTGTGTGTGTGTGTGTGTGTGTGTGTGTGTGTCCGTCTCTGTGTGTGTGTGTGTGTGTGTGTGTGTGTGTGTGTGTGTGTGTGTGTGTGTGTGAGAGAGAGAGAGAGAGAGAGAGAGAGACACAGAGAGAGAGAGAGAGAGAATGATAACCAGATGCTACTGGGTGAAAGGAAGGTGAAGGTTACCAGAGGTGTTTAGGCCTTGGTACAAGTTTCTGTGCATGTGTGTGCTATTCTATTTGTGCATATACATGTTTGCAGGTGTATGCATATACACAGAGACCTGACTTGTTTTGGGCAACTACCAATACATTGCCAGAATTTTTCTCTCTCTCCTATGTGTGTGTGTGAGGGTCTAAAAGAGAGTGTGTATCTTGCTCTGCTGGAGAAGTTGGAGTGATAAAAACCTGAATTGAGGAAAATACTCCAGAGAGTAAACAAAGGGGGCAAGGAAGAAATAAATAAAGAGGATGTAGAGCTTTTTGGTAATGGACTGGTAGATGCTGAGGACCACATCCACCTCTGTGTGTGCGCAAGTGTGTGAGAAAGTGTGTTAACATATATAAGAATCTCACACACACACACACACACACACACACACACACACACACACACACACACACACACACAGTGTCTGCCTGTCTCCTCTCACATTACCCTTTACATTAAAACCAGTCAGGGGGAAAATTACTGCAGACCTGGCCACCGTCTGTCCACCTGGCCCCACAGAGAGAGAGGAGAGGATAAGCAGAGGCCTGGGGAAATAGGGGGATGAGGAAAGGTTTGGGGGGTGGAGGGGGGGGGGGGGGGGGTTTTCAAGGCACCTTTGGAGAGGGACAAGGCTGCCCAAGGGGCACTGGTCTG